CTGACTTTCAGATCCCTGGCAGTGGAGTTGGGGGCAGTACTACCTTTTGCAGAAATGGCCGAAAGAGTGAGTCATCTTTGCTTTTGGAAGAGGAATCATGCCTGGACTGGGACCCCTATCTCAGACCTATGGTCTCCATACCTTTCTCTTCAATTTACTCATAAGTCACTTACCCAGGACTCCAAAGAGAAGCAGCCACAGGACCAGGAAATTAGGAAAGATGTTCCCTCTCCCCATCTTGAAATGATGCACAGAGGAAGTTCTCATTTAGAATGCCTCAGTCCCAGAGGAAGGTGAACTGCAGAGGCAAAGAGGCAAGAGGCACAGCCCCAGGGCCTTGAAGGGAAGTATAGCTGCAGGGAAATCTCAGCAGGCCAGTCAGAGCCCAGGCGAGCCTCCCAGAGGTGGAGGCTGGGATGCTCTACAAATTGTCCGAGTTTGACTTCTAGCTTTCTTCTCTTTTCTCATGAGCATATCTAAGGCATTTATACTGGTCCTTCCAGCTTCGGGACCCAGCTTCAGGTCCTCCCTTCCTAGGGAAGAGCATCTCTGTGTCCTACTCTGCAACTCCAGGCTGTTCACACTGAGGTCCCTGTAGGAGTGAAGGCAGCAGGAGGCAAGTCAGCCAGAGCAGAGGGGGCAGGCCCAGGAAGGGGCAGGGAGAGGATCAGTGTCTGGTAGAAGGACCCCACCCTTTGAACCAGAAATTATCTGAAGCCTGTTTTCTTTGATGCCTTTCTGTATGCCTCATTTCCAAAGCAGGCAGCCTGTGTAAAGGAGGAAAGAGGAAGAGAAGAAAAGGAAGCAAGTAGATCTTTAAGGTCAACGGGTATTCATTTGGGGGAAGCTGGGGATTTTGAGGCCTTCTCCGGAAAGTTTTCTCCTAGATGCAAGGAAGTGCACAACTGTGATCCTTTCTCTGGGCTCTTCCAGCCAGAGTGCCTATTCCCAACCTCGTTCTGTTTGTAATCCTGGATCTGGCACTATTGGGAAGAACCTAGAAATAAGCACAGAAGCTGCAGGGGCCCGGCATGAGCAGCATGAAGAAACAGGTGAAGCAGTCATCAGAAGGCATAGGGCAGGAAAAGTGAGGAGTCAGGGATGGGCTCAGTGCGTGAAGCTCACTGGTCAGAGACCATGTTTTGAATGCCTGTTTGGAGAGTCAGTTGTGATGATATGAAGGAAAGAGCACACGAGAGCTGAGGGCTTAAACTTTTGTTTGGATGAGAGAGACAGCAAGAGATTCGTCCACCACAGTGTGAGGAATTTCAGGAACCAACCACTTGTATAAAGCAAACACAGTGTGGGTTCCAAATTCATCCTTGAACCTCTTGTGCTGAAAGTCTTACTTGGAAAATTCCCAACTTCCAGCTTCTCACTGCCATATCCCTCAACGTCCTGCCTCAGATCTTCCTCAACCTACCAGACAAGAGCCTGCTTTCTCTTTCTAATTTTAGTGTATCTTCAATTCTAGTTCTTGTCATTATAAGGAGTCTCAAACCTACCTTCCCCTATCACATGTGGTTTATCAGAAAAAAATAAATAAAAAGAAACAAGATCTTCTGTGAAAAACAAACCAACATGATTTTTGCCTGCAACCCATCTTCCTCCAAGCTGCCCCCGAAGGTGGTGGTCACCCTTGGACTGGAAGTGGTGATCTCTCATGATGTTGTTCAGACTTCATCAAACAGCTAAACCACCATTTGTGTAGGAAAAAACTACATATTCCCTTACCGGTTCATGTTTAATCTAAATTATGTACCATAAATTTAATAATTTTAAAGATGTAATACACACCATATTGGAAATATAGACATTAAAATAATAAGACACTTTTATTGCTGTTTAAAATGTTTGAAATGGATGCTAACACTTCTCATCTCAGTATCCACCATTTCCATTTTTAATAGAATATAAGCAAGTTCTTCCTTAACAGTCTGATCCACAGAGTTCCTTCTGCTGCTCTCTGAATATGCCACTTGCCCCACATTATTCAATGGTAATCTTTTGTTTAAAAGATAGTTTTGAACATCATGTTCTTCTGTACCAAAAGATATGTTTATAAACTTTTAAATTTTCCCGTGACTTTAAAATTTACTTCTCTCAATAACCTTTTGGTGAAAAGTAATAAAAATATTTTTTCCTATAAAATATTCTCCCATATTTTCAAGAAAATATAAAACAAGAACCTACCTAATATACAAGATAAAAAAACTTATAGACTGCTTACTAGTGCAGGACAATTCTAAGGGCTTCACAGCAAGTCTATGAAGTGGGTCCATGATTCCCTCAGTTTTATGGATGAGCACACTGAAGTCCTGAAGAATTAAGGAATTTGTGCAAGGCCTCGGGGAGTTTAGATTTGAGACCAAAAATCCTAGTTCCCCATCTGTGCTCTTAGCTGACATGCTGTAAGGCCTCTCTGTGTTCCTTTCATCTTAAGATGTAGTATTAATCAGTTGGAAGTAAATATGGAACTAGTTACATTTTTCTCCTTGAAATCACGCAAAATATACAACTGCAACCTAGACCAAGAAACTGGTGAATGAGACTATCTCCTCACAAAGAATGGTGTACAAACCCGGGATGTGGGTTTCATATGTTTGTGTTTTTCAGCAATTTCTACCAACCCTGAATATCCTGCAGTACGCTGATAGACCACTAAGGTGGGCCGCTTGCCATTGGTTCTCATCCAGGTCAGCAAAGGCACTGCCACCTGTGTTACTGGTTGCAGAAGCTGCCTGGGCCCTACTTTCACAGCAGGCTCCCACAGGAGGGGTGCATTCTTTGACACAGATGGGAGAGAACAGTTTGTTAAACAGTAATTTTATTACTCCTGTACCTCCCTCTACAATATATCTGAATACATCACATCTGAACATGTACCAAAATTACCAGTTATACACCACTTAGCCCCTAAAAGGAATTTATATGAGGCAGGCAAAAGCATAAGCCCTACTCTGGGTATATAAAGCCTAAACTAGAAGAAATTTTTTAGATATCCCTTCATTTGCTCTATAATAGTAGGAACCAGAAAGCAAAGGTGGGTGACTGTAAAGGGGAGTTAGAAAAGTATACGTAGCCTGGTGCTCCGACCACAGAGGTCTTCTCAGACAGATCAGTTTTAGGCAAGTAGATATATGGAAGTCGAAGATCTGGAAAGTGATTCCCGTAAAACATCCCACACCTGCATAGTATCCTTTAGAAAGTCTTTGTGCGCCTTCAAGAGCACGGGACAGATTCATTCAAAGATCAATGTACTAGACCAACAGAGCCAAAGCACAGGTCTGGCAGATCAGCACCTCCCCTGTCCACTTCCCGGACTTCTGCTCAGTGAACTGGGCCTTCATCAGGTAAAAACGTCTGTGTTCATGGGAGTGTATTCCATGACAAAAGTTGAGTAACAGTGCTTTCTAACTCTATAAACACACTTCAGGTTCTGGGAGTAGTGAGATATTCACAGTAATATAACTAGTGAATTAATCACAAGATAATTTGCTCACCATGGTTTCCTCCCTTCCTCTATTACTAAGCGCCCATTGCTTTGAGTCATTTGTGATTTATCTTTAGCAACCAAAATTTGTATTTACACATTTTCTATAATGCCTGGCAATAATATTGAAGTAGCTTTACTGAGGTATAATTACATGCTGTATAGTTCACCTATTTGAAACAGGTAAGTCAGTCAATGGTTTTTAGTGTATCTACAGAGTTATAGTTAGTGAATACTTTCAATCTGTGTGCTCAACTCTTTCTTCTCTTTCTTCTTTCATTCTTCTCACCCATTTTCCCCTTTTTTCTCTGTTTTGAACCTCTTGTTCTCATGTTGGTATTCCTGAATCTGTCCTCCGGTGTCTCCCACTTTCTGGTGGTTCTCGTCTCTGCAGTTTGTGTCTAACTGAGCTATTTCTTTTCCCCACTTGCTCACCCAGGTTACTAATATTATTCTCAACAGTGGCCAGTCTTTTTCAGTTCATTTGTTATGATTTTAAGTGTGAAAAGCCGTGTCTTACAATGTTTAATTACCCAGATGGGTTGCCTTGCCTTATCGCAGTTATTTTCACATTCTTTCCACAGTTCACACCAGTGGGCAGCACCTTTTCAGGGGTTCAGCTCGGCTTCTCCTTCTGGTTGCTGAACCCCTCTTAGTGAGGTGATGATGAGCCTGCCTGTGGCTTAGCACGGCCTCATTAATTAGGGTCAGCTGTTTGGGTTTGAGAAACCCAGTGAGTGCTGGAAGGCAAAAGAGCTTCCACTGTTGTGAGTTGGGGTGAAGCCACCAGAAAACTGCTAATTTTCTCCCAAGGGCTCTGTCCCAGGTGCAGGCATACTCACTGCCTCATGGAACCTAGAGCATCTTGGCTTTCCAAAGCAGCTCCCTGTGTCCTCTGAGACCTGTAGACTCAGGTAGCCAGGTCCTGTGCACCCATGAAAGGGATATGTGCAGTCCTTCAAGGAAGAGACTTCACGAGCCTCTTAAAAGGTTAGTCCTAAGCCAGAAAGGTTCAGGCCAGAAAGACCTCGCCTGGTAAAACAGGAAGTGCTTCCTCTCTCTTCCAAAGGGCTCACTCTGAGAGAAATGTGCCAACTAGCATCTTCGGTCTGACAAGTAGACCAGGTCGGGAGCATGAGTAAATGCCCTGCACCCTGTGACATGAAGTGAACACACCCAGCCCCCAGAACCCTGTACCCCTCCACCTCATCATGCTCTGGGAGCTCACACATGAGCTCTGCACCACAGGCCTATTCACTGTACTCCTGGAATCCTGGCCCAGGCTCTCCCTTCTCATTTCTCCCAACTCATTCCCCTAGGAGCCTGAAGGAGTCTTAGGGATCCTGGGTAAGAGTCCTATTTGGGACAAGAATTAGAAAAGGGGGACACATGAATGAAGTCTCTGGATTTTGCTGTGGAGATTTTGAATGGCAGGTGCTTTACAGCATAGGAGTTCTCTCATATGACTGGGAAATTCATGTTAGTGCAGTAGACACCCACTCATGTGTACACACAGGTTTTCTCTGTCCTTTATTTTGGATGTGTTTGTTTCTTGGCCAAATGACCATAGCATCTCTTCTTTCCAATGTCCAATAAAAGCAACAGAAAGGGAGGAAGCATCTTCTCCAAGGCTGTCACAGATCCAAAGCTGGGAGGGGACCTCCGGGGACAAATGAAAGGACACTTAGATCTTCAGTCCCTCAGGTCAGCTTCCTCCATGAAGAAGGTGGCTCTCTTACTTCAGCCCTGCTCAGGGTCTGTTGTATCACCCTCTCATCTCCATAGCTACAGTTGATACTCGTTTCCTCCAGAACCAGTTAGGGCTCCACCTAGGCCTATGGTGGACTCTGTGACTCCTTTCAGGGCCCAGGTCAAGGTGGGGGCCATGGGGGTGGTAGACAGGCCTGTTAAAGATGTCTCTCAGGCTCAGGAAGTTTCTCTAGGAAAAGAAAGGTGGATATTTTCAAAATTATATGCCCTCTCCCAAGTCTTCACCATGGATTTCTTCTGGAGCCCTCGCCCCCCTCAAACTATCATTGTTATCTTATACTTCTTCCTCCAGCCTTTTCCCTGCTTTTGGCCCCCTTACTGTCAAGTCAATAGTTCCCTTGTACACTGATTGGCTCCTCTGGCCACACTGTGGTACTTCCCTGTAGTAACTGTCCCTAGTCTTCCCTCTCTTCCTACTCACCCCCAGCTTGGTTCCCCTATTATTCATACCCATTTGCTAGATTCCAGCTACTCCTTCCCCAGGCACTTCCCTACTTATTAGGCACTCACCACGCAGAAGAAGAGCCCAACAAAGAATCCCACAGCCACTACAGCTGAGACCAGAGTGATGAGAAAGATTTCCCATGGCTTCAGGGACCCATCAGGCCCCACTTTACTTGTTGAAGTAGTAGCACTGGTACTGTTTCTGTCGGAAGTTGTGTGCATTCCAGTTGGAGAAGGTGAGCCTGAGGTTGCACTGGATCCAGTGTTGACGGCTGTGCTGTTCCCACTGGAGGTCCCAATGGATATAGTACTCGAGGCTGTGCTGGTCCCACTGGAAGTCTCACTGGATCCAGTGTTGGAGGCTGTGCTGGTTTTACTGGAGGTGACACTGGATCCAGTATTGGAAGTTGCGGTGGTTTCACCCGAGGTCACACTGGATCCAGTGTTGGAGGCTGTGCTGGTCCCACTGGAAGTCTCACTGGATCCAGTGTCAGAGGCTGTGCTGGTTCTACTGGAGGTCACTGTGGATCCAGTGTTGGAAGCTGTGCTGGTTTCACCCGAGGTCACACTGGATTCTGTGTTGGAGGCTGTGCTGGTCCCACTGGAAGTCTCACTGGATCCAGTGTTGGAGGCTGTGCTGGTTTTACTGGAGGTGACACTGGATCCAGTGTTGGAGGCTGTGCTGGTTTCACCCGAGGTCACACTGGATTCTGTGTTGGAGGCTGTGCTGGTCCCACTGGAAGTCTCACTGGATCCAGTGTTGGAGGCTGTGCTGGTTTCACCCGAGGTCACACTGGATTCTGTGTTGGAGGCTGTGCTGGTTTTACTGGAAGTGTCACTGGATCCAGTATTGGAAGTTGTGGTGGTTTCACCCGAGGTGACACTGGATCCAGTGTCAGAGGCTGTGCTGGTTCTACTGGAGGTCACTGTGGATCCAGTGTTGGAGGCTGTGCTGGTTTCACCTGAGGTCACACTGGATTCTGTGTTGGAGGCTGTGCTGGTCCCACTGGAAGTCTCACTGGATCCAGTGTCAGAGGCTGTGCTGGTTCTACTGAAGGTCACTGTGGATCCAGTGTTGGAAGTCGTGGTGGTTTCACCCGAGGTCACACTGGATTCTGTGTTGGAGGCTGTGCTGGTCTCACTGAATGTTGTGCTAGATCCAGTGTAGGTGAATGTACTGATTCCCTCAGAGGCTACACTGGATGTAGTGTTGACAGTTGTGCTATTATCACTGTAGCTCATGCCTGATTATAATGACAAATGGTAACAAATGAATATGTATGTATACAGAGAGAAAGACAGAAGGAAAGAGAGGATGGGAGAGAGACAGAGGGGGGAGGGAGGCAGAGGGACAGAGAGCGTATATACTTACTGTTCCAAGCTTGCTTAAATTTGTTACATCAATAATTCTACTTAATGCCCACACAGGCCTTTGAAATCAGTACTATTATTATCACCAGCTAAGATGAAGAAACCAAGGCTTAGAAATATTAAGACTAGCCCAAAATTATACAGCCAGTCAGTGGCAGAAAGGGAATTTGAATCCAGGCTTTGAACTGGCACTTGTAGCTACCATGCTCTATCACCTTCTCCACACAGGCCCCACACAGGGCTTACCTGACCTAGTTTCACTGGCAGTAAGCTTATTGCAAAATCTGCTATACAAGATGTAATACAAATAAAAATTCTCATGAAAAACTTGTAGGACCCAGCTTAAACTAGTATATACTGATTATTTCATTCTTAAAGTTGTATTGCTCCCTTCATGAACATTTCTCAAACTGTTATTCAGAAAACACCTGCATTAAGATCACCCAGAGAGCTTGTTGAAAATAAGGATTCCTACACAAACAGCCCCAAACTAAATGAGTCAGAGTTGAGGCGGGGCCCAGGTATCTGTCTCTTCTAAAGGAGCCAGTTATTCTATTTGCATTAAAGTGCCAGGGGCTCCTGACAACTGTGGCAGAGGTTGGACAAGAACAGGTTATATATAGATTAAATGTATAAGCTCTCCCAGGACTAAGGACGATATCAAGACCCACAGTACAGGGTAGTTTGTAATGTTCTTGGAGGCTCAGCTGGAGTTAAGGTTGTACCTGTTTTTTGCCCCTCACTACACTAAAGCACAAAGATACTGAGGTTCCCTAGAGCCTATATTTATCTCAATGTGACTCATTTTACTACTAACTGGGACATGGTTGCCCACCATCTCACTCTGCATGTGTATATTTTTTGCTTAGTCTTATTTCAAGTAACATAGGATTGGGGTATAGCTCTATTTTGGAAAGGTCCCCCAATTCTGCAATAGGATGCAAATTGGGTTAAGACCAGAATCACGCCCAAAACTAACTAGGAAACTGAGATGATCGTGTAACATCTCATGATCAGAAGTAGAGGTGCCATGTGACAGAGAGAGTGGATTTAACCTGAGAAATTTGGGAGAACAGATGAGTCAAAATGATAAGAGGCTCATTCTGATTCAAAATGATGAATTCGCTAAGAAGCCAAGCACTCTGGTTGTGCAATAGGAGATGGCCCACAGAGGGTTTGCATGACAGGACTATGGAAACAGAGTGAGAATCAGTTTCGATTCTTAAATCCTATTCTCCTTGGTCTGAGGTTAATTTAGGCTGATGTGGAGTTAGGTTAGGAGCAGGACAGAAATTAGGCTTGTAGATTATTAGATGGGTGATGTTCTTAAAAATAATCAACTCTCCTTATTCTTAATATTTAGCACCCCCAGCTATATCGCATAGGTCATACCATTTCGTAGATGCAGAACCGATGCACAGAGTGGTTAAACAGCTGACCCAAAGTACACAGGCAACAGATGAAACCGTAGTTCCTATGCAGGCAATCGAAGACCAGTTTTAACACTGTACTCAGACTGCCTCCTGGCAATTCACTATTAGACTGCGGCGACTGGAGTAAATGATCATGGTCATATGAAGGACCCCCGTAGCTGCTCTAAGTAGTGGGCACCACTCCACAACCCCCTCAAAGGTTTTTAGGCCACCGCCTTTAAAGAAAATCACTTACCATGTTTTAAAAGTAGGAGATGCAATAGTAACAAATACTTAAGGGGAATGCTTCCTTTCTGCATTTTGATCTGTCTCTTGATGCCCAGAAAGCAAGATAGCTTGATCCCAGATGCAGCCAAGACCTAGAAGACAATGAGCAATATTCTTGAACAAGGAGAGTTCAAGGTGAAGAGATAAAAGCTGGAGCTTCCAGGAGCTTGGATCTTCTATATATGTTTTCTTGGGAAGGACCGTGTGTTTAGGGATAGAGTGAGAGACTGGATGGCTGGTTTCCTTAAGCTTCCTCCATGCGATGCCCTTGCCTCTTTCTTTATCATGAAAGAGTCACAGGGGCCTTTATAGCCTCATATGGGTTGGGGAGGAAGTGGAAAGTTGATTTGTTCTTCTGTCAACTATGAGCAGCTAAGAAAACAACACTGAGCCTGGGAGGAATAGACTAGGGGTCAAGAGGAAGGTTAAAAGGAGGATGACATGATCACATTAGATGGCACTGGGCTGGGTTGTAGCAGGAAGTAGAATGGGACAAGGAGATCAAGGTTGTCAGAGTAGAAGGGACCCACCCTCTGAGGCATGGATGGGGCCAGATACCTGTTCTACATCTGTTTCCTGGTCTGGAAGTCCTATGAGCCTATTTCAGCAAGAAAGAAGCCCTAATGGACTGAGATAAGGGGGCAGGATCCCACATCTCTCAAGCAAACAAAAATATAAGACTCAAAAGAGAGCAGTAATGAGAGATCTGGGCCCCCTCAGTTATGGGTAAAAGGCAGATGGAGCCCTGTGCTGTGCAGTAAGTAGGCATTTAACAATGTGCATTGAATGAATAGGGGAAGAGGGATCCAGGGATCAATAAAGCCATCTCTGTGGTCTCTCAGGCTTTGGGGCTGAAGGCATGGGGTGACTGTTAAATGTGCAGGAACAAGCCACCTGCCAGACGGCAGAGACAATATAGGGCCCCCTTGTCACCCTCAACCCAGCAAGAGGACTTCCCCTCTTGCTGGTTTTCAGAGAAATCCATTAGAGCTTTTCACCCTGGGATCCTAGAGATGTTCTTTATCATAAGCCTCAATGAAGCATCTGTCAGCAGGTTATACCTCAGGTCACATTAGGACACTTCAAGTTTGTTATGGGAGGGAGATCTACAGTCCAAGTCTGCCAGGAGCTTCCGGTTGGGTCTGGACATGGATGCGGAAGCTGGAAGCACATGTCAGCTAGATGAGCATGATGGAAGAAACCCAAATGAGCAGGAGGTTTGAGAGTTCATGATGAAGACGTCTTGTGTCTAAGACAAGAGGTGTGAGCTGATGGGAGTTCCACACATACTGTGTGACAGAAGTCAGATGCTTCTCAGATTGTTTATTTTTAGGTGAATGAGTACCTGCAACACGTGAGACCTGCTAGAAAGAAGCTGGCAAGTGGGAGGGGGCTAGAGACATGTGGGACTTTGGAATGAGTGAATCTGAGAGTCAGGTAGGGTGACTCTCAGCATGGGGTGTGCTGGGAAAGGCTCAGACACAAATGTCCTGGCAGCTGTGTGGACAGTTCCTGAGGCAGAGGGCAAGGGGCCAGTCAGTGACAAATTGGGTCCTAGACTTTCCGCAATCCTAACAAACCAGTGGCACCCTAAGAAAGAAACCTCCTCTTCCCCTTTAGACGTGCTTGGAGGCAGAGATCCTGAAGTCCAGTCCAGATCACATCTGTTAGAGGTGATCCTTAAAGAAGAATTTTAACATGCACATTTATTATAGTCTCAATGTCATTAATGTTTTACTCTTCCCCCAAAGCAACACAAGGACCTCGACACACTTTCATTCTTATTACCCACCTACCGACTCATAGCCTAAGGTTTTCAAGTATTTTAATTCTGTCTTGCTTTTTACCTTCCTGAGAGATTATTGTTGTCTGCTTATATACCATAAGCCAGCACATAGTCGCACAGATACAGTCAGCCTCAAACGAGACTGGGGAATATCCATGTGCTCAACTAAACCTTGAGAAATCTGTTGTACAAGATGGAGAATGGGTTTTAGTGGACAACCATAAAGCTACGGCACACATTTAAACCTGCTTGCTTTGCATTCTGTAGTTAATAACTCCAATGTGTTTGGGTTTTGTGGATCTGATCCTTTTGTTTTGACTTGTTTCTTGCTGGCTTTCATTGCTGTTGTTTGATATCATTTGTGATTGAGAGTTATGGCTTCAAACTATTTTTCTTGTGATAGCTGTAGAAGTTCCTTGAGGACTGAGATGAAGGTCTGATCTTCCACAGAGAATGTGCATGTTTGGGCCACAGGGGCCTTTTAAATGAAATGATAGGTTTGAGGTCTTTTGAATTACCCTTGATTCGGGGCAGCAAACCATGTAGAGTATTATGGTTACAGCTATTTCTCGAGACATACTTCCTCCTCCTCTTCCTTCCCCTGCATCAGGTTCAGAAAGAGGCAATTTTACTTGCATTTCCTTAGGGGAGATGTGGGCTTATTTTCAGTTTGCACTCTGCCTGAAGGTTTCAGGTTAATGTGAGGGTCCACTACTAGAGTCCCCACCTTGGCTGGTGCTACTGAAGCTTAAACATGCCAGCTCTTCCCAAAGACGGCTTCAGTACTCCCCTTACTCCTTGGGTTCCTAACTTAACTTGGTTGCTAATTTGAACATTCCTTATTTTCCTGCTGACTCATTGATTCATTTAGGAAGAACTTTTTAGTCCACCATTTTAAGCTTTTCATGGTATTTTAGGCCAAGGCTCCTAACCCATTGGAAAGCTAGAAATTTATGTGCCCATTGGATTGTTTTGAGAAATAAAGTGTGGTGCATTTAAAGGCAGCAGCATGGTGTGTGGCGCATAACAAGATGTGATCATAAAGAACAATGAAGAAAGAGAAAAACATAAAAATATAGTTTCCAAGTGGAAGAAACAAAGAGTAAAGGAGGATGAGTCTTCCCAAAGATGAAGGAGATCTGAGGGGTGCTGAGTAAGTCTTAAGACGGTTTTCTGTGTGCCCAGTTTGTGTGATTTGAAGCTACAAACCTAGTCACGGGTTACCTAGACTTACTGCGGTGATCATTTTGCATATATACAAATATTGAATCATTCTGTTTTATACCTGAAACTAATGTAATGTTGTATGTCAATTGTACCTCAAATTTAAAAAAAAAAAAAAAGGAAGCATGGGCAATAGACCAGTGAAGATCATCAGTTTGCCAAGAGGCACTTGCAGAATTCCTGCTGTACACCTTTCACCAGTGACTTCCACAGTCAGGATTCCAGCCTGATGTGATCAGAGGTGACTTCCCACTGTTTTGGGAACCTGCCCCTTCAACCAGCCATAAAAGTCATTTCTACATCTGGGGCCCTGGAAATGTCATAATTTTTGCTAAGATAATCTCGATATGAGACCATGTTTCAATGAAGGAGAGTTCTCTGGTGTGAGAGTCTTCTTTTCAGATAGTCGTTATGTCTTTTTTCCTGTGGAAGTCTTAGAAAATAACTCAACAGTGTTTTTAAACTTATCTGTTGTTTTTGTTCTTTTTGACTGCTGACTTTAGTAAAGACTATGAAAGAGTTGTCATTTTTCTCTGTTTGAGAAACACTTGATTGCTTTTCCTGACTGTGTTCTTTATTGTTGCTCTCATTACAAAATGAGTCAACAAATTTGCCTTGCTCTGACCTTTTTAAAAAATGATGAATGTCAGCCCTGGCTAGTGTGGCTCAGTTGGTTGGAACGTCATCCCATGAACCTAAATGTTGCAGGTTTGATTTCTGGTCAGGACACATACTTAGGTTTTGGGTTTGATCCCTGGTCAGGGCCCATGCAAGAGGCAATCGATCGATCGATGCTTCTCTCTCACATTGATATTCTCTCACTCTCTCTCCCTCCATTCCCCCTCTTTGGAATCAGTAAGCATGTCCTTAAGTGAGGATAATAGAAAAATATGAAGAATGTCATGTAATTTATCACTTCTCATGGGAGATTTTTTATACCCTCCACTTGGTATCAATGTTAAAAATAGGCATTTTTCTCAGTCCTTAATGTTCATGATGGCCAATGCAGTTTTATTCTAGTTTAACCATGCACTGGAGCTTTAGCCCTGTAGGTGGCAGCTTTATTCAGGGTTTCCTATTATATGCCACCCCTTGTGCAAGTCCTGGACTTTGCCCCTGTACCCTCATGCTGTATGTATTTCAGCAGAGTTGACAAATGCCCTCAATGCAAAGGCTGCTTCAGAGCTTTCCTTCAGTCTCTCTGAGAATCTGTTTTCTCTCAGCTCTTGACCTAAATAGTACCTACTGCCTACCCAGCTAATACAGTTACAAAGATATTTTCCAATATTTTGCCCAGCAATTTTTGTTGTTTTCCCTGAGAGGCATGATTCATGTACCTTGTCTGCTCCACTGCCTTTTTGGAAGCCCATTCAGACCCATTTTATGGTCAGTGCCTTCTGCTCCCTGATCCCCTTCCTCCCTAATATTTTCTTTCTACAGCATCGTCCATTGACCAGTTCATGTTTATACTCCCCTTTTCCTGTGTGGCTTCCCCGTGGCCTCCTGTCTGGTCCATTTCAGGGCTGCTGTATGGTCTTCCTCACACCCATGATGGTGCCATGATTCATGCCATAACCACCCCCATGACTGTGGCTCAACTCATGGCTCTCCCCATGTCCAAAGCCATGTGCTGCTCCACGGACCAGTTGATTTCACAAGCTGTGGGGCATTCCAGGGCCCTCTCCTGTGTCCAGGTCCAGACAAAGGCTTGGAGGTTACAAATGCCTCTATTTACCAGAGAAAAAGTGCCTCTAAAAGACCCCCACACACACAAAAAAACACCATGGTAGAGTGAAATCTTCCTTCCATAGCATTAAACCTTCTTGGATTGTGACTGGCTGGGACTATGCACCTTGGCTGGGAGTCCCCAGCCCTGTGTGGGGACCGTGTCGGAGGTATGGGACAAGATTACACAGGAACATGATTGATTACTGGAAGCAAAAGCTTTCTGTTTACTACAGGTAAACAGCCCTTTCAAACAGGAAGGATAAACATGGCTTTCTACCTGGCTCCTGGTACCTGCGCCTGGTGTTGTTCTGCACATAGGAGGCCTCCAGTAATTGAATGACTCAGGCTGTCTCTTTGCAGACCACCAGTTTCCAAAGCCCAACACGATGTCGTCTTCTTTGTTTGCTGCCTGAGGGTATGCCCAGGTACTGCTGTTTGCCTTCCCTTCCCCTGGCTGGGCATCCTAGTGTCTAGTCATTTGCTCCTGGAAGCACCAGCAGCAGTCCTCTAGGGCAAAATTCTAGAGCT